CCCCCCCCCCCCCCCCCCCCACTAATCTCCAGCTCATCGTGGGGACGCTCAGAAAGGCCTCGCAGTGTGAAATAAACACCATTCACGCACAGAACCCCTCACAGGAGGCCTGATGAGACGAGAGCATCCCCTGCACCTCGCCCCCGGTTCTCACCCGCACAGGGCAGGGATTGTAAGCCACACAGAGCTTTTATTGTGGCGGGGAATGTCTGAACTCCCACTTGACAAGACGTCAAACAGACGCTCTGCTCTGCACGTGCACGCTCCCACACACGGGCTCATCGGAAACATTTTATCTCTGCTTCAGCACGTCAAGCCGTTTCTGGAGCAGTGAACCATTAAAACATGGTCAAGGCCAGAAGGGCTGCCACATTCTTCTACTTTCTGAGGCGTTTATGCGTCTGTTAGCAAAATATCTGATGAACTATTGAATGGGTTTTTAATAAGACTCTCTGAAAGTAATCATTGGGTTTACATCTACAACTGATTAACATCTGGAGTCAATCCAATTTAATACGGATACCACAGCTAATCAATTTTAGAAAACACATAATGGATTGTAACAAATTTATATTTAAAGATATTGAACCAAAATTTGGAGTGGTAGTAGCTGAGACTGATCCTCACTACTTAATCGGAGCGCTAACTCATTACACAAAATCTCTGTTTAACACCTTATCATTAACTCTTTAATATAACCCTGCTTGTCTGTTAACAAAATATCTCATGAACCACCGAATAGATTAACTGTAACTCATCAGACATTTATCTTTACATGAACCTAAATAACTCTTTTACTTTTGGAGTCAATCCAATTCAAGATGGCTACCACAGCCAGGTGACATAAATGGCTGTAACTCAGTCTGTTTAACAGGTATTGATGTAAAACTTAAAGTGGTTATAGCTGAGAACTTTACACAACATATACTTTAAAAGGCAACACATTGCATGACAACTTGAGTTACTGAGGGATGTTGCACATAATGTTACTTTTAAAGTTTGACAAAAACATAAAATGATCAAAGTTCAAGAGTTTCATACAAGATTTCTTGGTCTTCAATGGCAAAATTACTTAACTTATTTTTGTTTGTTTTCAAGATTTTAAGAAGGAAGATTCTGAGCTGAGTTGGTTTAAATCAGTTAATGGTCATTTAGTTAGTGGATATTTTGTGAAGGAAGTGCTCATCTGTTCGATAAATATGTTGGAAATGCTAAAACAAAAAAGTGTGAAACTTGTTTTGTGCGCTGAAGGACAACTTGGAATTTCATTTAATAACACAAATATGAACTTTGAACCGTTCATAGATGGATCCTCATGTTTGTTTAACCTTTTTTAATTTATTTATTTTTTTTCAAAGTAGCACCAGGAGACAACTTGAAATGTTTTGTTTGGGCCAATTAATCAACACAGATGACTTTAGTTTTTGAATCTGCATCATCCGTTGGGAACGTGCAGACTGCAGGGAACCTACGGTGGCCCTAAGGTGTAAATGAACAACATTTGAAAAAATGGAATTATATTTGAAAAAACACAACAAAATCGCAACAACATTTGAAAAAACAGAATTACATTAAGCCCAAGCGGAAGTGGCCGAAGCAGAAGTGGCCGAAGCGGAAGTGGCCCGAATCACATTAGAAAAAACAGAATTACATTAAGCCCAAGCGGAAGTGGCCGGAATCACATTGGAAAAAACAGTATTACATTAAGCCAAAGCAGAAGTGGTCGGAATCACATTGAAAAACAGAATTACATTAAGCCAAAACGGAAGTGGCCGGAATCACATTGGAAAAAACAGAATTACATTAAGCCAAAGCGGAAGTGGCCCGAATCACATTAGAAAAAACAGAATTACATTAAGCCAAAGCAGAAGTGGCCGGAATCACATTGAAAAACAGAATTACATTAAGCCAAAACGGAAGTGGCCGGAATCACATTGGAAAAAACAGAATTACATTAAGCCAAAGCGGAAGTGGCCGAAGCGGAAG